AGGGGGTTGTGTCACTGTCCCCATGGTGAGTAAGGACCCCGATGGCCATATGCAACTCGGGGACTCACAAGTGTGCCCAGAGAGAAGCACAGCCCTCCCTGCACACACGAGGTGATGTCCCCACCAGACCCTCAGGGGCTCCCCCGGACACGGCACTTGGTGCAGAAGTGTGGGTGACAGTCTCTGGGCTGGGGGTGGTGGCATCCTGGCTGCACCTTGGGGGTGTGAGAGAAAGCGTGAAGGTGTGAGCACGTGTGCCCAGGTGTCAGGATGACACCCCAGAGATGCGAACCCTGGGTGCACAGCAAAGCGAGTTTGTCCTTAGGAGGCAACCCAAGTGAGACTCCAGGCAGCGCAGGCTTCGTTCCTGCATAGGAGCCGCACTCAGCCGGGCTGGTCCACCTGCTCCCCTTCCGCCCCCGCCACACAGACGGTCCGTGGCACTGCCAGCTGCCCCGCAAGGCCACCGGCCCCTGCCCTCCTGGTCCAGGAGCCCTGGGCCCCCAGTGGCTACCTATAGCCTCGGGATCCTGGGACCCAGGCAAGAAGGGGCAGCTCCCCAGCTCCTCCCGGCCCTGCCCAGGCTCCTCAGTCTGGGGCATCCAGGGTGCACCAGGGCCCCACAGAGCCACCAGCCCGCTCCTCCTGATGCAGGACCTCTGCGGACCTGGCAGCCCCTCCCTGGCCAGCCTGCTGCCTACACCCTCCAGCAGGCATGAGACTCAGGGCCGCATGCTCTGCCGGCACCAAATGCTCTCCTGAGACTGCCTGGGCCTCTGCTCCCCACTCTACTCCTCCCTGCAGTGGCTGCAGTCCAGGACCTGTGCCCACCGTCCCCCGCACAGTGGGCACCTGCCTCCTCCTCCCCCTAGGGACACCAGTGGGTCAGCCTGGTTTCATACTGTGTCGTGTGACCCAAGCCAGCGGGTCAGCTGTCAGTGCAAGGGGGCATCCTTAGGGTCTTGGTGACCCAGGGCCACCTGCTCATGTGACTGGCCACTGTTCTCTGGCCTGTGCAGGCCCAAGCACCTGACAACCCCAGCCTGTGACTGGCAGAATCAGTGCTGTATGAGGCGTCACCAGGCCTTTCCCAAGGCGGGGGAGGGGAGGCACTGCTCCACATGATAGTCTTGGGCCCGCCTCTCCTGCCAGGCTGCCTGAGGTGCCACGCAGCCACAGGGCCTGCCCAACACCAGGGTCGTGGCTGGTGAGCTGTCTGAGGCGGAGCACTGGGGACCAGCTGGGACTGAATGAGCATCGCCCTGGCAGGCAGCATGGCGCCACTGTCCCTCCCGGGGCACTGGGAAGGACACACAACAGAGGCTGTGGAGTCCTGGACCCCTTGCGGCCACCATCACCCACCATGATCCCCACAGGTGAATGGAGCAGCAGGGTAGGGATGACACCCCATGTCCTTCAGGTCCCGAGGTGGCTCTGATGGCCAATGGACGCCCTCTGCTGGTTGTAAGGGGTCAGAGCCTCACCACTCCTCTGGGTTCTGTTGGGCTGAGATGCTCTGGTGGGGTCAGGGAGCCACAGGGCTCCACCATGCCCCAGGCCCAGGGAGGCGCCAGGCTGGGTCTGAAGGTCACTGGGTTGCCGGAGAGGGGGCAGAGTGCCCTTGGCCCCTTTGGCCCTGCCCCCAGCTGTTCTCACTGAGACCAGACAGTGCCAGGTCCCAGATAGCAAGGCCCATGAGGGCTCTTCTCAACAGCTCTGGAAATGTCCACACCCCAGGTCTGCTTCCCTGGGCCCCAGAGGCTGGCCATCTGCCAGGCCAGCAGCTCAGGAGGCCCCCAGGGACCTGTGAAGGTCAGGAGAGCCTATGTCCCGCCAGGGCCCAGACAGTACTGGGAGGCAGCCCCCCAAAACAGCTCTCCAGGACAGCAAGGGTAGTGGACATAGTTCTGGGCTGCTCCCCAAGCCAACTGGGTCAGCCCTGTGTGTGCCCTGCCTGCTCACCTGCCATGTCAACATGTGGCCAAGATTCCCAGGCCAGGAGTCTGTGACACTGGCCCCCACGGGCACAAGGCAGAGAGGGTCTGCAGTTGCAGGCACAGGGCTCTGGGGCGGGGGAGCCAGGCCTGGTGAGAGGCATGGCCGTCACAGGAGCCCTGTGCTCTGGTTGGTGGGGCCACCTCGGGCTTGGCGGGACAAGAGGAGCATGCCAGGGCCAGCAGCTCGGCACACGCGGCACCTCAGTGACTGACACGGAAGCTGTGTGGAAGCTCAGCCCTGGGCCAGACAGCCAAGCCAGACAGAGGGGCCCAGGACCCGGGACTGGGCGGGGATGAGCAGCAGCCCGCGCCTGGGTGGACAGCATGGCAGGTTCTGAACCCAGCACAGCCTGCAGCCCCACGGCCCCCTCCAAGCCCGTCCCAGGCACCCCCTGCTCATGCCACTCCCCCTCAAGTCCCAGCCAGAAAAACAGCTGTCACGGCAGCTTTGGGCGGCCCCGCTCAGTTACAGCTTATGTACGGCCCCCCAGGCAGCCGGCTCACGGGGGCACTGACTTTATAAATAAAATTTATCATTGTAATTATGGCGCCCGTGGAGAGCCCAGGACGTTTACGGCCTCTTGGAGGTCGTGAATAATTTAAGCGAAGGGAAACGGGCACCAGCGTCAGCGTCAAGAGGCCCAGAGGTTCCCATTATCTCGGCTGCTGGCGGTGACAGGGCTGACGTCCCAGGTTCTGACTGGAGGGGACCAGCAGCCTCCCCCACGAGCCCCCCGGCCTGCCCGAGCCAGAGCAGTGCCAGTGCTCGTTCTCCCAGCAGGGCGCTGGCTGTGTGATAGGGTGACCAGACACAGTCCTAGAGGCCAACATTCCCTGCTTTGGCCGAGCATGCCGTCAGGCAGTCCTGTGGGGCCGCTGTCACCAGAGGCACGAGCCACACCCCGCCTGCACTGTCTGCAGTTCCTCCCTCGGCAGCTCTGTCTGGCGGGGACCCCTACCTCCTATCCCTCAAAGGCAGCAGGTGCCTGTGGGCCCCGGCCTACTCCCACTCCAGCCTTGGGGGCCTGCATCAGCCCCAATACTCATCCCAGACCCCAGCACAGGTGGGGTCATACTACCTGCACCCCTAATGCACTCGTGGGCCACATTCCAATGCAAGCCCCGGGTTCCCTGGGTTCCAGGATGTGTGTCCCTGGTTGCACCCAGGGCAAGGACCCCCAGACCCCTGTCATACCCGGTCTCACGTCCCCACGCTCACCAGGCCCAGGTGGACAGAGCTGCTTCAGCCTCCAGGAGCTGCAGGCCACAAGGGGCAGCTGGTGCTAGATGCAGTTACCCCAGGACCACAGGGCAGAGGCCAGGCTTGTTCCAGGGCACTGGTTGGACAGGAATGGAACTGGAGAAACCTGGGCTCCTCAAGCTTGACGGCATCACTGTGCCAGACACAAGGACCCTCACCACCACGCAGGCCCAGCCCCAACGCAGGCCTCCCACGGGGGGCCCACGACCTTCTTTTCTTTTTTTGGCTTTTTTCTGGTACCGGGGATTGAACTCACTACCTCGCACTTGCCAGGCAGGCGCTTTGCCACTGAGCTAAATCCCCAGCCCCTGGCCCACGACCTTCTAAGGACCCACTGGTCCACATTTTCTTGCCCTCAGTGCTCCGGCAGTGCCCCGGGGCGCCGTGTGTGGTGGGCACAGCACAGACTTTGTGAGGAACTGAGCCGTTGCAGCACTGCCAGTCCCAGGACACTGGTGACGCCCCCTCCAGGGACAGCAGGCCTCGGGCAGCCCCAAGGAGGCCTGAGCTAGCTGCTCCTTGCCGGTGACAGAGGAGCTGGGAGGGCTCCACTCTGTGGCCCTGGAGGCCTGGTTAGGGCTCTGCCGGGCAGTGGCTCTCATGACCCCTAAACGTTGCTCTTTCCCAAATCCAAGCTGTGGATTCACCTTCCGCCCCCAGCCCTCCTCAGTGGTGTCCCTTCAACAGGGGTCAGTGCACCACAGCTGGCCGCCTGCTCCCCCGTAGTGCTGGATTGGAACACAGCACATTCCTCATTCCTGTCATCCCCGAGGGCACAGCATGGGTGTCCAGGCAGCGTCTCACTCCCTGCACAGACAGGGAGACTCAATGCCCTGCCTGGCACACACACAGAGCCAGGAGCACCAGCCTGACCCCTACAGCCCCTGTGGCTTCAGGGCATCGGTGGATTCAGGCTACAGTCCCTGCTAGCCCTGGCCCTCGTGCCCAGGAAACTAGCCAGGCTCCCAGCAAGAGGTGCCCCCTCTCCCAGTGACATGGAGGGCCCTACACACCTGGGACCCCACACCATGGCCACCCGATGGCCAGTCTCAGATCTGACTCCTCCTGCAGGCTAGCACATGTCCAGCAGGACCCAGAGCCTGCCAACAGCCTCCTGCTGTGTGACTTGGGGTACATGGCCTCACCTATCTAAGCCACTTTTATCTCATCTAGAAGTGAGTACAGGTGCAACAGAGCCCCACACCCCAACCCAGGGCAGACCCTGGGGAAGGCCAGGCCCCTCCCGCTCCAGTCTGGCCCCTGCCCCTGCCAGGACACTACTGGGGCTCAGCCAGGCCCAAGGCAAGACCCCTCCCTCCACAGCACCCTGTACTGCTCACACTCCTTCCCCCAAATTCCAACCACAGGGTTTCAGGAGCTGCCTAGCCGGGGCCTGGAGAGTGCATAGGGCTGGGCAGGGCCGGTGACCCTGACCTCCGGCCTGCTCTGCAGGCCTGGCCTCATGTCCCCCAGGGCCTGGGAAAGGACTCCGGCAGCAGAGGCCATGGGGTTGCTGCTCTTTCTGCCAGAGGGGAGCAGCCTCAGCCCAGGCCTTGCCAGCTGGACGGCTCCTCCTCCAGCAGAGGCCAGAGCTCGGGAGAGGCCTGGTCACCTGTGCGGCCTGCGGGCTGCTCCCAGCCTGGCCCCACCTCCCAAGCGTAAAGACAGGTGGAGACCTCTTGGGCCATGCCCCCGCCCCTGGACAGGACAGAAGAGCTGGCTGCTTCACGAGGAGCAGAGGGGAGGAGCCAGGGAAGCAGGCAGAGGGATGCTGACTTCCTGCCTGCGTTGGGGGCTGCCTGGCCATAGACATGGAAGAAGCCTGGGAGGTGGGCAGAGACCGTGAGAGCGCCGGAGCAGCGGTCACTCCAGGTACCCTGGATGTGCCCCATGATGGCCACCCTTCCTGTCCACCCAGGACTGGGGGTGTCCTAGGATGGGGACATTCCAGGCAAACGAGGCAGCTGGGGACCCCATAGCCTCTGCCCCCTGAACCTGTGTCTCCTTATCAGTGGGGCTGGCAGAGGACTCCTGACACTCCGGCCCCTGGCACTCAGGGCCTCCCGGGTGGCCGGCCTGAGCCCATCCCACCAAGGCCATCTCTCGGGGGGACAGCAGGCCTGCAGGGAGGAGGCTGCTCCCTGTCCCCTGACCAGGGCCAGCGGGTGCCGCAGCAAGGCCAGAGGGCGCTCAGTCCCGCCTGCCGGAACCGCCCCAAGAGCTCTCCCTCTTGCTTAAGTGGGAAATGCGCATTTATCTGGGGAGCTGCCAGGGACAGCCCTTCCGGAGCCCCACGCCTGCCTGTCCCGGCCTGCACCCCGCAGAGGGGAGGCCGCGTGGTGCCCCAAGCCATCCCGTTTCCTCTCCAGCCTCTGCTGCCTCAGCCTTGGGGCTCCACCTGCACCAGGCCGAGCAGGCACCTGGGACACGGCCCCACCACACTGGCCCAGGGCCGCCTTCGCCCTGGCTGTCCGCTGTCCAGAGGGCAAGAAGGCGCCGGCCCCACTGCTGTAATGGAAACTTCCTGGCCAGGCTGCGAGTGGTGACGGCTCGGGTTCCGCCCCACAGAGGCTCTGTCTTCAGTGATCTCGGGCCAGGCGGTGGGCCGTCCCTGAAAGACAGGGCCAAGCCGCAGGAGCCAGGTGGGCCATGTGTGCGTGTGTGTGTGTGTGCATGTGTGTGTGCATGGGTTGTGTGTGCACACATGTACACGTCCCCTGCAGCCCCACAGGACAGCACTGGAGGTGGCGGCCTGCAGCAGATCAGCCGGGTTGTGTGTCCAGGGGCAGCGCAGGTGTAGGGTGGGGGAACCGGCACACTGCCAAGAGGGGGCCCTGACCAGTGTCAGAGCGGAGGAAAAGCTGTCCCTCACGGGATGGGTGGGACCCTGGGGTCAGCCACACGCCGGCTGCTGCGAGGAGGCCCTGCCCTGTCACGGGCTTTCGGTGATAGAGCAGGTGTCCTGGGGCAGGCAGGGCAGGCACAGTGCCATACAACATTCCTCGCTGGGGCAGGAGACGGGCAGCAGGTGGGAGCATCAGTCGCTTTCAACCGCTTCATGACAAGGGGGATACTAGCCCCGAGAAGACGCCACAGGTCTTCTGCACAGGGCTGTGGCCAGGCCTTGGAAGCACACAGGACCCGTGGGCCCTCCAGCCTGGGGCCCCTGGGCCTTCTCCTGAACTGGGGCCTCTTCCCATGATCCATCTGAGCCCAGGAAGGTGACAGACCCTACACCTTCCTGCCCAGGGCCTAACACCCTACAGACCCAGCCCCAGGGCGAGGCATTGCCTGCTCACTGGAGCAGGCGTGGAGCAGTCCGTTCAGGGGGCCCCACGGTTCTTCGTCCTCCCAGGGAGAGGGGCGGGCCGGGGCAGAGTGGCCTCCCTTGGCAGTCCTGGCGTGTGATGACGATCCGCAGGCCTGGGCTCCTGGAACTATTTTCCACTCTTTATCACCCTTCTGTCACGAGCTGGCCGCAGAACAAGCGCACTTGAATTACCCCTGTCCCTGCCGCTGAGGCCTTGCTCCAGGGCGGGCGGGAGGTGGCACCCAGCAGCTTCACTTGCTTCTGGGCAGCAAGCTGAGCCCCAGGAAGGTCGCTCTCCCCCTTGGACCAAGGTCACAGAGACCAGACTGAGCCAGCCCCTGGGGACACCACAGGCCCCGTGTCCTGGCAGCTCCCTCCCCTGTGAAAGGGAAGCCCTGAGTGAGGGCCCCACCTGGGCCTTAACTGGAGACACCCAGGGCACCCACAGAGCTGCAGGTGGGAAAGGGGTGGCCTGTGGGCAGCCTCACTGTCTCAACCCTACACCAGGTTGAGCACAGCCACCCCGAAGGGATGGCCACAGTGCAGGGGCATCACCACAAGCCCAGGCCTCAGCACACCCTGGATGCGCCTGCTCGTCCCTGTCAGGTCCAGGACAGGGGCTGTCACTGCTCGTGAGGGCCAGCGGAGAAGGCTGAGGCCACCAGGTGGCCCAGGGCCTGCAGCCTCACCCACCACACACATCCACGTACACTTCAGACACTGTGCATGCAGCCACCACCCCAGGCACACAGATGCACACGCAGATACCCTGGCACACACACTGCTTCCACTACACCCCCAGAGTGCTGAGGACCCCGCACCACCCCAGCCGCCCCCTGCTTCTTCTCTGATCTGATTTGCAACAAAACCTAATGGGGCAGCAATGGCACAGAAGTGGCTCGCTTCTGCAGTAACAGCACCTGTGCAGGCGGTGTAGCAAGGACATGGCCAGGCCCTTGGCTGCCCGTGTTTGTGCCCCTAGGGCTCTGCAGTGGCCCAGTTATCCTGGGTCAGAGGGTGTGGGGACGCTGTGGTCACCCCCAGGGCAGCTGCTCCTGCGCGGGGGACCTAAGGGCACTGTGAGGGCCATAGTGGAGGCCTGCTCTCGCCCTGGGACATGGCCTGGTGTCCGTGCTGGGTGCATTTCATGCCCAGGGCTAGCAGAGCACACTAAAACCTACCACAAGGGACCTGGAGGAATCTGGTGGGTGGAGGGCTGCTGACCCCAACTCACCATGCAGCCAGGAGGAACAGAGGACTCAGCCCCTCCGTGGACACCCAAGGGACACCCACGTTCTCTGGCCTCTGTGGCCCGGTGGGCTGAGCGAGGTGGGCTCAGTGCCCAGGCCCTGCAGGGGTCGATGCCTGGCTTTTGCAGGGCAGAGTGACTGGAGCAGGATGGGAGGGCTTGGGGCCAAGGGCCTGCTAGGGGCATGAAAGAGAGCCCGGAGGAGAGGGGCCATGCGCACGGGCAAGGGGACGAGGCACAGGGAGAAACGGGCACCCGCACAGCCAGAGAGACCCACAGGATGCGGACAGCAGAATCCGAGACAGAGACAGATGGGAGGGCTCAGCAGGTGGGGACAGGGCACAGTTTGGCAGAGCTGAGGGGTGGGCCTGGATCTCAGGGCACAGCCAGCACACCCCTGGAGGGAGATCCCCACCCCACGCCCTGGCCCCCCATGGAGGGCCAGCAGCAGAGAGACCTTCACTGCACCCTGACCCATGAGCTCAAGACTTGCAATCACAATAAGCTGCCAACTTCCAGGTGTCCCGAGTGGGGGATGGTTGTAAATTGGGGGTGGCAGCCCACAGGAGTACTACACAGCCAGTAAGGGGAAATCAGCAGACTGGCGGCGGAGGAAATTGCTTTGGTAGAAGCTGAGTGTGTAGAGACGCCGTCTACCCTCTGGCCCTCCCAGCTCTGTAACCTCCTGTCTCTCACCTCAGCACCATGCTCCAGTAAATGAGGACCACAGCTCGAGCCCTGCACCCTGACTCCGGCCCAGAGGCCCTGCGTGAGACCGGAAAGGATGAGGAGGCTTCGGAGGTGGGCGGGCTTGCCCAAGACGGGCTCATTGTGCAGGCTCCGGGGTGGACAGGCAAGGGCAGAGGGCTCCGGGCCTTGCCCTGCAGCCAGGGGCCGTGGGGCTGGACGGAGTGTCTCGTGCAGGGCACTGAGCCCCTGGGCTTGGTCAGACAGGGGCAGCATGCAAGGCCAACGAGGGGGACAGCAAGGGGTGCGGCTGGAGGGCAGAGGGGCTGGGGGCAGGGAGAGGCGAAGACTGCAGGGTCCAGGACACGGGAGGAGGATGCCAGGAGACAAGAGGGCTAAGTGGGGTTTCCCCGGTGAGCAGGTGGGGTCCACACGGGAGGGCTTGGACCTCAGACTTGAGGCACGGCGCGAGCACCAGGAGGTCACAGGTGGCAGGGACTTCCCAGAGCCGGGGGCGGGCACAGGCACCAGAGGCGGCCTGGCTCCTGGTACTCTCGCCTGCAGAACAGCCGGCGTCCTGGGTCACAGGTGAGGGCACTGAGGTCCTGGGAAGCCAGGGGCTCCAGCTCCATCTTCCAAACCCAGGCCGTGCTGATGAGGGAAGGGTTCAGGGCCAGCAGGTGGCCCTGGCAGGCCCATGGGCCAGGTGGAGCCCAGCCAGGAAGAAGGAGGCCAGCTCCTTGGGGGACTCCAGCTGTCTGTCACAGCCCCCAGCCACCGTCCCTGCCCTGGCCTGGCCCAGCTAAACTGGGCCCCTTGCCCACACTTCCCTGCCCCAAGCTCCCCTCAGGTCTTTCTGGGGCTTGGACAGCAGCCTGGCCTCCCACACCACGGAGGACGAGCGGCTGGGGCCTGGGCCCCACCCCAGGAGTGGGAAGCACGCCTGGCCAGGAGTCCGAGGCTGAGTTCCGGGGCTGTCAGCACCCCTCACCTTGTCCCAGGCACTGCCCTCCCCATCTGGGGCCCCTAGATCCGTGCTACTGGCAGTGGCCAAGTTCCGAGCCCTGGTCCTGGTCACTAGCCTCTCCCTGGGCCCCAGGAAGGCCGTGAGTTTGTGTGGGTTCAGGCTGAAGACTCTGGTCTGAGGGGCTCCTCCCTGCCTGCGCCTGCGGTGAAGTGTTATTGTTCTCACCACTGACATGGAAAGTTACCCTGAGCCCTGGCACTGGTGGGGAGCAGAGCCCAGGATGCTGCCTGGCCTGGGGTCACCAACCTCATCCACCAGGACAGAGCCACAGGCCACGGGGACCGAGGCCATGGGGAGGGCAGGCTGGTGTCTCCACATCTTTCGGGGCCTGGACACCAGCTCCCTCTGCACAAAGCCCAGGGGAGGCAGCAGGGATGGTGGTTGGAGCGTCCAGCGTCCAGCAGGAGGGGCTCATGGCCCCTGCCCCCCTCTGTCCCCAGGAGGGAGACAGGAAGCACCCCCCGTCCATCCTGAAACGGAGCTGGCTGGAGCGCAGGCCCCACGAGACAGAGCCGCTGAGGACCTCGAGACACGTGCGGTTCCGGGAGCCCCTGGAGGTGGCCGTCCACTGTAAGAGTGTACGGCAGGGTCGGGGGGCCTGGCAGCAAGGATCTGGGGGGGCCAAGGTGGGACCCCAGTCCCTGTCCTGGGCCCCTGGCAGAACCCCAGTAATGCCCATGGGGCCCTCAGGGTGCAGGGCAGGAGGGGCCACCGGGCAGCTCACCGCCCACTGTCCTCGGGGGAGGCCGGGGCGGGAGAGGCGGGGCCCTCGCAGACGTGCACACACCTTGGCCTCCTTCACAGACATCACCTGCAACGAGCCCACGGCCGCAGGCAGGGGTGAGTCTCAAGCCCCAGCCCTTGAGCCAGGCCCTGGGTCTCCACCCCTTGGAGGAGCCTCTCTCCCTGTCCCCACTGGCCCCAGCAGCCCCGGCTGTCCAGCAGGGCCACTCCTCAGCCACTGTCCCTGACACACACAGGCGGGCCACAGCACCCAGCGCCCCGGGGACGTCCCCTGCTCCTGCAGCTGTCTCTGTGTGTTCTGCTCGGAGTGGCGCTGGGCCTGTACTGCAGCCAGGCCAAGCCCATCGCCACGGCCCTGAAGGACCTCCAGGCCCAGCTCCTGGCCCTTGTCCTGCGCCTCTGGCACATGGCCCTGAGCAGCTGGCGCTGCCTCCTGCGGTTCTGACCACGGTCGGCAAGTGATGTCTCCACGGATCACCCTGGTGGGTGAGGCTTCGGGGAGCCCCGTCTTGGGCTCTGGAGCTAACCAGGAGACAGCCCCAGTGGGTGGTGCATGGCACAACCAGGGTACCCTGCAGGGCAGCTGTGGGGCTGGGGGAGAGGCACACCATGCCTGAGACCAGACATGCGGGACCCAGCAGCTGGCACCCTGCTCCTCCCTATGTGCAGCCCTCCCCTCCCTATGCGTCAGGTACTGGGGAGGCTGCCAGAGCGGGCAGGCAGCTGCTGCCCTAGCCTTGCCCTGCTCGGCCTGGCGGGAACTGCGCTGCACCAAGTGCTGGACCCGGGAGGCCAGGACACACCCTGCTGTCCTGAAGGCTGTACCCCACAGGAGGAAGGCCTGCGTGTCAGGCACCGCTCCCCGTGGGTCCTCCGTGGGGCACCATCCTCCTGGCCAGGCCTGACACTGCCAGGCCCCTCCAGGCTCCACACAGACAGAGGGGAAGCAGACAAGGCTCAAGTCAGACACCAAGAGGGACAGCGGGGGATGCTGTGCCCACCTGGGCTGGTGGCCAGGCAAGTGCTGGGGCCTGAGGCCTGAGGGCATGGGCAGCCCCTGACCCTTGGTGTCTGTCCCCACCACTGATGTGGAAGAAGCACTTTCTGTTAAAGCACCTGCTGCACCCTCCGGGCTGGGGTTTAGGGAAATGCAGTGGGAAGCCTGGCCGGAGAGGCCTTTTGTGGCCTGAGTGACTGCCACACATTAAGGGCCCCGTCCATGCCTCAGTCCTCTCAGCTGCCCGCCAGGACATCTCGGGGCCCATTGAGCCCTGGGCCGTGTCCCCCAGCAAGCCCCACCGGTCCGTCTGTCCCCTTGCTCTGCTCTGTCTCACTTGCAGTCTCTAGGCCTCAGGGACCCCAGGCAGCACCCCCAGGGTTTCCTCCAGATTCAGAATTCGGGGACCCCAGGGTAGGGGAGCCAATGGAGAAGGCCCAGAGAGTACCACAGTAGGGGACGGGCACCTTCAGCATCAGCTGTCACCATGGTGACCACCCCTGCCCCAGGCCAGCCCCCCAGGATTTGTCTCATTGCACCTCCCCAGGACAGGCAGGTCACTTTCGCCCCATATTCTGGAGGCGCCGAGAGGTGAGTCTCAGCCGTCTCTCGGCCGGAGGAGCTGCCCCATCGCCCCTCCCCAGAGGGCGCTCCTCGTGCTCGGCACCAAGGCCCATCACGACCCCTCCCTGTGGCCTGTGGCGTCCACAAATCCACCTCCAGCCATTTCTCAGTAAGTGCTGCCTGGAGACACCGCCCCCGAGAGGTCGCCCATCCATCTCCCCCCGGGGGCGCGTGGGGAGCAGAGCCCCAGAAACGCAGACACGAAGCCGCAGCCTCGAGGAAGACTGCTTCTGGAAACCTCTGAAGAACCAAACAAAGCCGGAACACAGCCGTTTACACCATAAACTAGAAGCCAGGCAGGCGGTTGAGGCTGGGGGCACAGGAACAAACCACCCCAGAGATGCTCAAGCTCATAGTTTTATTGTGACCTGGAGAAATAGATACGTGGAAATTTGACAGTCTTCACTTTCAGTTCAGCCGGAAGTAGAGCTAAAACAAGGTGCCCTCGGGAGAGGCCGGAGAGAAGCCTGGGTGTCTTGGAAGCAGTAGTGCGTTTACCGTGGGGACCGGGCAGCCCTTCCCTCCTGCCCTGGACCCTACGCCCAGGCCTCTGCATGCCCGGATGCAGGCTGCCCCTGGGCCTTAGGAGGCAGCTCCCAGGGCCAGCTCCCAGGGCCTCAGGAGGCAGCTGCCCAGGGCCAGCAAGGCTGGGCTGGGGCAGGTCCACGGGCCCGGGAAACCACGCCCCGCTCCCGCTTCTTCTGGGGTCCCAGGCAGCTGCAGCAGAAATGGAGGGCAGAGCAGAGACAAGGCAGAAGCCACAACACCACGTGTAGGGGACAGATAAGCAGCTCTCGGGGCAAGAGAGAGTCCCCATGCCTAATGATTAGGGGCCCAGGGTGAGATCAGCTTTGGGGACCTCAGACTGTCCAAACATCATCCCAAGTACACAGCACTCCACAGGAAGCTCTCAGCTGGGCTTGAGCCCTCACCCCTCACCACTGGCCTTGGTCCTCCCAACACCTGCCTGCCCAGCACCCTGACAAGCTGGCTGCTTCTTGCAGCCCAGACGACCACCCCAGGCCCTTGAGGCAGCCCCAGTCCACAGCAGAGCCCAAGCCGGGAGAACACGCTGGGAACACACTTCTGAAGGTTGGGGTCAGGGTTGAGGGCTCTTCCACCTTAGGTCCCCTTCCCTGGAACAGGGTGAGGGACCCCTAAAAGAAGAGGGTGCTGGCTCTCCCCAGCAGAGTGCTGAGGATGGCAGAACCCAGCCCAGGTCACACTAGGCTCTGCCGCCACTAGGTGGGCAGGTGGGGCTCACTGCCCTTTGGGAGCCCTGGCCACGCCCTTCTGGGAGCCACGGGTGCCCAGCTCTGTGGTCTGCTCCCACACATCTTATCCACATGCGTGTGCACATACGCGTGCGCTTACACTCCAGCACTCACATGCAGCCTCCGGGAGGCAGAGCATAGACGCCCTGCCCAGGGCCCTGCCCCGACTGCCTGCTGCTGGGCCCTCGGCAAGAGCTGGTGCTCGCCTCGCTGTAGGCAGGGCCAGGGCTGCATGCGGGGCTGGGTGGGCCCAGGCGGGGCCTGTGGGCAGGGGCCGGGTTGCTGGCCACACAGCCTAGATGACGGCACTCTTCTCCCCTTGGAAGGAGGTGCGAGGGCCCGGCCTGGCCAGCAGCAGCTCCTTCTCGTGGACCAGGCTGTCCAGCAGGTCCTCCTGGCGGTAGTTGTGGTAGACCTTCAGGAAGGCCAACGTGGTGATGGCAAGCCATGCCAGCCAGGAGGCCCAGAGGCCAAACTGCAAGGAGGCAGCAGCGTCAGGACAGAGCCAGCACCCCACGTGACCCACATGCCCCCCACGTGCCCGACCAGCAACCCCCGTGTGTGTATCCGACCAGCCCCCTCCCCACCCCTTCTCCCATGCACCCCGCCAGCCCTGGCCCTGGAGAAGGCAAGGGGCAGGAGGAGGCCCTGGAGCCGAAGTTCCTCCTCCCTAAAGTGAAAGTCACTCTCGCATCCCTGGGGAACCTGAATCTGGGCAGAGGCCAGGAACCAGCTACCCCCACCCTGGCGGACACAGTCCCTGGTGGAGGACAGTGGCCAGGCAACGCCCTCTCCTCCCAGCACTTGGGCCCCTCGGCTCCAGGGAACCTGTCAATCACAGCCCCTGCAGTCACCAGAGAAGATTGACCTTTAGCTGCTGTTTCTAAACAGCTGGAGGGGAAACAATCAACCCCAGGCCTGCACATCAAACTGACTCCCATTCGAGCGTGCTTGTCGTCCACATGGCCATCTGACCCGCAGTTCAGTCCAAAACATCTTCCAGTAACTTTACATGAAGGTATCTTTGACCACTTCAGCTCATCTCAGCAAAGAACCCCTAGAACCCCATGTCCAGACCACTGAGGGGCTCCTGGCCATGGTGAGGCCCTCAGGCTGGCCACTGGAGGCCCTGTCTGCCACCAGCTTCCAAGCCCTCGGGCTGCGGCACTCGGGCTCCCTGACTCTCTGGGCACCTTCTTGCCTGGGCGTTGGCCCCGTGCCCTGTCCCCCACTTAACCCTTGAATGCCCTGCTCTGCCCAGGACCCGGCTCCCCGCCCACCTCCCAGAAGCCTTTGCGGGGAGGTGTCAGGAGTGTCCCACACAGGCCCCTTCCTGCCCACCTGAGCAATGGCAAACTGGTCATAGAAGGCAGAGTTGTCCACATTCAGCTCCAGGTCAATGTCTTGTAGCTCCTCGCAGCTGAAACCCGAGGTGGGGAGTGGTGACTGCGGCTGAAGAGGGCCGCTGGGACCTGTGGGACCTCACGGGGTCGGCCTGGACCCCGGCCCATGGCGCAGGCTCCGGGAAGGGGACCGGACAGCCAGAGGACTGTGTGTCAGCCTCAGCGTGGGTCCCTGTGTCCTGGCTCACTGTCCTGCCCTGCAGGCCCATAGGCCTCTGAGGAAGGGTGCAGAGGGGCTGGGGCCCACAGTGTCCCACACTGCCCCCAACAGTGTACACAGGGGACGCCACCAGGCCACCTCCACTGGACATGACAGCTCAGCCCAACCCTGGGCCGAAGTCCACACGAAGCCCCACACTCCTGTCACAGCCGGGGCTGGGCAGCGTCCAGTGGGGGCTGCAGGAGCGGCTGGGGAAGGGTGCCAGGAGGGGAGGGCTCCTGGGGAACCCCATCAGCTGCCTACACTGAGGGCCCACGGACAGGACCAGCACAGTGAAGGCCGAGCAGCAGCTCCCAGCTGCAGGTGGGACCTGGCGGGGCCACCAGGCTCACGCATCTTCGCCTGCCCCAGGACCCAGCATGTGGGCACAGGACAGGTGAGGCACTTCCTGCCCTGCCCTGCTGGCCCTGTTTTAGATGTTGGGGTTCCAGGTCTGACTTTGCCTAAAGACAGTGGAGCCTCAGAAAGAGGTGACCCCAGGTCCTGCCTTCTAGGGCCTGAATAGGCTTAGGATGGGCAGCGGGCATCTGCCCAGGGAAAAGGGCAGCCACCACACTCCACCCCAGGCACCTGCCAGCCAGGTACTTATTGCCCTGGCTCAGCTCAGCACCCACCCTGGCCCCAGAGGTCCTTGACTGCTGGGGACCCACCTCACCCCGCAGAACCCTCTGGTCCTGTTTTCCACCCTCATCCCACCCCATGCACCAAAGCCCTGATCTGACACCCACCCTGGGCCTCTGCCTCCCACGGGCAGCACAAGGGGGTACCTGGCCACTGCCCCTAATGGCAATGAGGGGACAGAGGGAACTGCTGAACCCTAGGCCCCACACCCACCGCGTCAGAGGCCCTGGCTCCTGGGGGCCTCTGTGTGTGAAGCTGCAGGTTCCACAGCAAGAAGGAGGCACCTGACACAGGTGGGGCTCAGGGGAGAAGCCCGCCAAGTGGGCCCAGGTGGGGACCAGGGGGGGACCAGGTGGGCCCAGGTGGGCCCAGGTGGGGACCAGGTAGGGACCAGGTGGGCCTAGGTGGGAACCAGGTGGGCCCAGGTAGGCACTGGTAGGGTAAAGCCACAGGCTCCAGGTGAGCCGTATGCAGGCGCTCTGCCTGCGGGTGTAGGGGTGGGCACAGGGAAGGGCAGGGCCCAGCATACCTGTGGGGCACAGTGCCCTTCTCGGTGATGGCATCACACCACATGGTAAAGCCCACACTCACGATGGTGCTGGCGATGAAGACCAGGAAGACCACAAAGGCGCTCACCAAGAGATTGAGGAAGGCGTAGAAGAAGGAGCTGCAGGTAGCAGAGACAGGGATGCTGGGGGACATCCGGACCCCACCGTAGCAGCAATCCCCAGTGTGGAGGGCCGCAGCCCAGGTTCTCTGGTGGCATCAGGGCCCTATGATACCCCACGCCAGCCCTGAGCTGCCCATCTCATCCTGCCCAAGACTGGACTTGGACCGCAATGTCATCATTGCCCAAGGGAGAAGGGGCCAACACAGGGACCCACAATCACCCATTCCAATGCACGGGAGCCAATACGCACACTGGAGATGCAAGATCCATTCAAGACTACCCAGCTCCGGGCACCAACCCAGGCCATCCACCCCTAGGACCACTGTCCAAGGCGACCCACAGTCATTCACAGCTATAGGATGAGTTCTGAGTCTCCCGAATTCATTCAGTGAAACCCTAACCCCAAAGTGAAGAGAGCAGGAGGCGCGGCCCTTGGGGCGTGGTCAGGTGGGGGTGGAGCGTCCAGGGTGAGATAGGTGTCCTTGAGCACGAGAGGACACAGCAAGAAGGCAGTGCTGGAGAGCCTTCGCCAGGTGTCAGCCCAGCCCCTCCACTGACAGGGTGACTGCAGGCCCAGATGTGCAGAGCTCAGGGACCCACACTGCATCCTCACACGGGAGCGACCCACACCTGGCACCAGCCACCAGCCCCACTCCGGGGCTGATGTGCAGGCCCAGATGTGCAGAGCTCAGGGACCCACACTGCATCCTCACACGGGAGCGACCCACACCTGGCACCAGCCACCAGCCCCACTCCGGCAGACCCATCGAAGCCTCCACGGCCAGGCTGTGCCATGCTGACGTGGTCCAGCTGACAACGGCAGCATGGAGAGCCCAGGTGGGGCCAGGGCTGGGGCACCACCCCACCAACCCCCTTCCCAAAACTCCATCACCCCAGGGGCTCCCCAAAGTCCAAGCCCCTCAGGGAGCCTCAATCTGGCCAAGCCTGTGGCCCACTGGGCTACACGTGGGAGAAGGAAGTACATCCCTCCAATAGGACGCCATGGGGACCCCTCAAGACAGCAGGGCAACAGGAGGCTAGGGAAGGACCCTGCCCACCTCCAGCCTAGCACCGGCTGGATGTCACCTTAGTGCCACCTGCAGAAAATCTGAGCAAAGTCTCGGGCTAAACTGGCTTCAGGGTGGTAAACAAAGGCACGGCTGGCATCTCACCCAGGGAAACCTCAGTCCCTGTCACCCAACCACGGTGACAAATGTCAAGGTGCAGAGCCTGCTGGGCACTGCTGGCTCATCTGCCATTGGACAAGCCCTTGGCATCTATCCACAGGATGGCCTGTGCCAGACACAGGCCAGGGACAGGAGTGTGCGGCCCTGACGGGAGGCTGCTGCATCGACGACAAGCAAGCTGACTGTGCCAGCTCTGGCAGGGCCATCGGGCTTGCTCAGGTGGGACCACCATCCACAGAGCCTGCCCTGGACAGCTATGTGGGCACATGGCAGAGCCCCTGAGGGGACACAGGTCTCACATATCCTTACAGAGGTGACACAGCCCAGAACACAGTCCTGACGAGGTCACGGCCCTGGATGAGCCCCAACTCGCCTGCAGGTCCATGACCCATAGCCTCTGAAGACCAGCAGCAGCTGCAGAGTTGTCTGGGCCTCCCGCACCGGGCCTGGCTGTGTGTGCTGTGGACACTGTCCCCTCGTCTCACGCACAGGAGCACCGGGCTGGCTCTCCTGCTTGGAGCTCTTCCCCGCCCTGCTGGGAACTGCCCTGCGTACGCAGCATTACCCCATGGAGGCCTGGTCCCAACAGGGGCCTCATGCAGAGCCTGGGGCTGACACCCACCCCTCCTGACTCTTCCCAGCCAGCCCTCCATCTGCCCCCACCTGGGTGAGCATTTTCTTCCTGCGGGACCCTGATGACTGGATTCTGGGCCACGTGAGCGACTCACGTGGGTAAAGGATAGCCAGTGATCACCAAACCTGGCTCCTGCCCTGCCCAGTGCTGTCCCATGTCGGACCTCAGCCGCTGTGGACGGCACGCTGCCCACTGGCCCTGCTGGGCTCCCCGGAGCTGCGTCCAGGGTTAAGGCTTGTCAGTGTTGCTGCCAGGAACCTGGGGAGCAGGAAGTGGGGTCACCCTCAGGAACTGAACACCCAGAGCCAGCGGGCATGGCACAGCCCACATGTGCCCTCCCACCTGGCAGCTTGTGTCAGGGCACTGCAGCCGGGCCAATGGGCCACGAGTCCGGAGGACCTGGGCGGTCAAGGCAGCCAGGTCAGAGCCTCCCTAGGCAGAGGCACGAAGGCTGCCCGGGGCACAGGCATGTAGTTCACCAGACAGCAACGGAGAGGAGACCCAGCACAGCCCCTCCACCTGGCGCACAGTGCCTGCTGCCCACTTCGGGGCACCATCCAACAGCAGCATGGGGCGCTGGCATTCCCACTTCCTGGCAGGTCACCCCAGGCTGGCACAGGAAGGCTGGGCTGGCAGCCATGCACAGAGCAAGGCCACATCAGGTCCCGCTCAGTAGGGGTGTAACAGCCAGAATTCTAGATGGGGGCATGCACAGCCCACATCCCTTGTGAGGCCAAGCTCCAGGGTGGCCTCCCTGACAGCCCCTGTCCCCAAACACCTGGCATCAGACAGGACTCAGGAGTTCCAGGCCCAGCTGCCCTTCCTGCCTTGGAGAGGGCACAAGCCCAACAATCAGGAAATGGGATTAATTCTCTGCCGACTCCAGACATTCCAGCGGCATCCCTATTAAGTGGGCATCATTCCCTCCTCCCTGGCCCAGACAAGGAGCTCCCCAGGAGGCAGAGGAGTCCCCAGGCTGGAGCACTGTGGGCAGCGGGCTCCTTCCACTCTTCTCATCCACTCCTGGTCAGTTTCCATGGAACCTGTCTGGCCTTCCAGATTTTTAAAAAACTGCAGGTGTCCAGAGCCTCAACTGGATCACAATGCCACCCCTCTCTGTGCCCAGCACATGAGAAACAGGACAGGACGGCAGGCGGCACACACAGGGTTAACCATCTCTCTCCCGCTGCTCTCAGGGTGCCCAGCCGGGGATGTGCCGTCGCCATGGTGACAGCTATCCTAGGAAGCCAGGGAGCATCGGGAGGCTGAGTGACAGGTGCAGGCAGGCAGATGGGTCGTTTTAACCCAGCGCTCCCCAGCCCATCAGTCAGTCAATCATACACTGCTGCCAAGCCGCCCAAAGGCTCCTCTCCGGCAGAGGCCCACTCGGCCTCCCACCCGCCCTCAGGGAAAGCCGCCTGGGGCTCCAGGGCCACACTCCGGCCCATTCTTTCACTGGCTCAGCAACTAGAAGGAGCTCGGGGTGCTCCTTCGCCTGTGCATGCCAGACGCCCTCTGCCCTCGAGCCCAGGACCAGACCACGGGGCAGGGACCTCGGCAGCCTCTAAGGTTGCAGCCCAGTCCTTGAGAAAGCGCAGTCTGCGCTAACCTAACCATGTCAGCCCTCTAACACTCAGAGACTGGTGGGGGCTGTGGCGGCCTCCCGGGGCTGGGCGTCCAGTGGCCACCACATGGGCTCAGTAGAAAGGCCTGCCCTGGCCCTTGGCTGCCCTGCATCCCCCACTGTCCTCCTCGTACTGGCTCGCCTGGTCTATGCGGCCTGACCAACGTCTGCAGTGGAACCGTGCTCTGGGCTGGCCCTCTGTCCATCACTGCCCTCTGCAGACCCCACCTTCCCAGGGGGCCAGAACTCACTGGCACAGTGGCTCTGAAGGGTGGAGCTCTTGGCAGAAGCTGAGTTCACAAAGATATCGGGGTCAGGGCCAGCTGGTAACCAAGATCCAGACCTCAGGGTTCAACACCTTTCAGTCATCCACCCAGTGAACACTTGGTGTGTGTTCTGCCTAAGGACACAGGGACGAACTGGGTGCTGGCCTGCCCTGGGTTCATCCAGCCAGGGTCCCCCTGGATGGACGTCCACGGCCTGGGATGGCTCCCAAGAGCTCTAACCCAATCCTACAACCAGAACTCAGACGGGCACTGACACAACAGCTGATTGCAGCCAACCGGATTGTGAAATGGATAAGGTAGAGACCAGTGCCAGAGAGCCAGGCGGCCCGGCCAGTGATTCCTGAGGGCCACAAGGGACGTTATGCATGGTACATCACCAGAGTCAGGAAGGCTGGATCCAGCCCTTGGACAAGACAGCTGGAAAGCCGGAGCAGGGACAGAGACCCCAAGTGTCCCAACAGTGGGAGCACAAACCACCAGATCTGGCCACTAGTGAAGTCAAGGGCATGGTGGTGCCACCAACCCTGAATCCCAAAGTGGGTTGGTCAGTGGGGCATGGGGACCAACGCGCTCAGGCCTGCATAATTCCAAGAAGAAAGCCCAGAGACACCAAGCCTCTGTGCACCTGCTGCACTGGCTGCTCCAGGGAAGGTGGCCTTCCTGTGAGTGACAAAGGCAAAGCCAGCACTTCCTGCTCTGCTGCCTCACCCGTGCAGAAGGGGCCACTCGGGATGACCAGGACTCCTGGCTTGCCAGCTCAGGGGTTCTCTAGAGCGCTAGGCCCTCTCTAGAGCGCTGTTGCATGTCAGCCCCAACTAGACCACTTCTGCTGCCGGGACACCCAGGCCTGGAGGGCACAGCCAGCCTCACAGCCCAGCGCCTGGGTCCCGCAGCCCCCGAGGGCTCCCAGGTGACACGGTTTCCTGCAGGCCCCAGGTCCAGAACCTCAGGGTAGTGGGATGAGCTGTGTCGCCCAAAATGCTACGTCCAACCTCTGGTACCTGTGACTGTGCCTTATCTGGAGAGAGGATCTTTGCACGTATAACCATAGTCAGGGCCTCAGAAGGACTCGGGGTGGATGGAGGGTGGGCTCTAAACACAGTGACCTCATGAGCAGAGAGACCGAAGAGGCCGTGTGAAGACAGAGACAGCGTCAGAGTGGAAGAGCCCCACGCCAAAGCAAGGAGGGGTGCTACGGCCCCCAGAAGGGTTTCCCACAGCCTCCGGCAGGGCAGACCTGCCCTGCAGCGACTCCTGGCCTAGGACTGTGAGGAGCCCCAGCCGGAGAAGCCTGGTGTGAGCAGCCCCGGCCACGTGCACACTCCAGGTCCTAGGCTTGCACCCTTGCTCCGGCCTTCGCAGCCCCACCAGCACCTTCTGCTCCTGGGGGCCCTTCTTCGTCCTCTCTCAACAGGCTGAGCGCCCCGGGAGGGTCCCACCCCCACAGCCTCGTGGCCCCCTGCAAGGAGCGAAAAGCCACTAAGAACAGCCAACCCTGAGTGGGGGCGGAGCGGGGCAGGCCGGGGAGCGGCCTCCGGCATCTGCAGAAAGGTGGGAGGGCTCACAGGTGCCACCAGCGAGGACCGCAGCCCCCGACCACACCCCACCGGCTCTGGATCACAGCAGAGCAGGAAAGGTGAGGAGGAAATGGAGGGAGGAGAAGAGACGCCTGGGACGACCGAGCAGGCCCGGCTCCCTGCCCTGTGCACCCCTAGCCAAGGTTTGGGTGGCAGCAGTGCAGCTCAGGCGACTCCCTTCCAGACGTGCGGCTTCCTGGGAGGAGGGAAGGGCGCCCGAAAGCCTCACTGACGCCAGGGCCTGGTCCTTGCCGGGCGTGCGCAAAGCGGAGGGGTCAGGAGCTGTACCGGGTCCTGGCGAAGGTGGGCCAGGCGGAGGAGCTCAGGCCTGCTGGGCCTGAAGGTGCAACAGCTGCACCCAGGGGCGTCGCTCCGGATGCAGGAGACCGCACCCGCGGAGGAAGGGCGGTGACCGCCGGGCCCGCGTGTGCGTGTGCGCGCAGACAAAGGCCGCCGTGCGCGGAGGCGGGGACGGCCGAGGGCGGACCCTGCAGGCCTCCGGGGCCCGGGGGCGCAGCGGCACGGCGGGGCCCCGCTTACCCCTCGTGTCCCTTGCAGAGGAAGAAGAGCGTGCGCCAGGCGTGCGCGGCGGCCAGCAGCAGCGACAGGAGGCTGGCGAGCAGGCTGAAGCGGCAGGCGGCCGGCGGGCCCCACTCCTGCACCGTGAAGCGCTCGCGCGCCTGCACCGTGAGGTTGGCGCTCAGCCACATGCCCTCGGTGAACAGCAGGCAGCGGCCGCGGAAGTCGTGGCCGTTCTCGGACAGCGGCACCACCACCACGAAGCTGAACAGGAAGGCCAGGAAGTAGCAGACGCACTGCGCGAAGAGAAAATTATTGAGCGCCATGGCGGGGCCGGGCCGGGCCGGGACTGGGCGCCGG